TTTTCTTTCTAAATGTTTCTTTAGATATCTTCACTGATGTCTGTGTATTTGAGGATTTATTTTTCTACTTTCACTCCTCAATTTGTTAATATCTTATTTAATTCGTTTTTTATCTCTGGATCTTTCCCAAAATCTGTCTCCACTTTCTATATGTGATAAGTCAAATATACATCATTAGGCAACTTTTACACCCATTGCTTGTGGACCTCTGCTTTGTATTATGTTTTGGTGTATATTCTTGATTTTAACTGTGTTCTCAAACTGCATCATTTATACTGCAGTTTGAGGAGCTCACTCCTTTGGTTACAGCAGGTATAAAGTTTACACTGATTTTTATGCACAATTTTTAGAAGGTAATTTTAAATTTAGATCACCTGCGTGTAGATATTTTAGTTATGATGGGGAATTGTAAAAGACAATTTTATAACTAGAAAAAAGTGAAGACGTATAATTTAAATTTGTGCCAATCAACACATTCATCACATAAATGATGAATAAGTCAAACTTTATTTGTTACTTGTTTCAAACTTTTTTATTGATAATATCATTATAGTATTAATAATACGTTTTATTCTCTTCTGATAAAACGTTTATCAGAGTATTGAAGCTGCAGCACTGGTTAAAGATTACAATTTATTTTATTTAAATACAGACGCACAGTAACTCGGATCAAACTAAACTAAAAGTAAATCATTTATAATATTTAGGTATTCAAATTTAACTCACGGTGGCGCTGTTTACCAGGTTTTGGACATTTGTCAGCCCATGACTCCTGTACTCCCACCGTCATCTCCCTGAAATCGCAGTTTGCATCGTGTATTAAAGCTGAATCGTCGCGTCTCTGCTTTTTCTGAACTCTGTTACTCACAAAGAAGAATGGATTCGAAAAATACTTTTTCTTACCGACATTTTTTCTTTTGTTTCTGTCTGATTGTGCGCCTCGTCTGTGGAGATATCAGCTTCTCTTTTCCCGAGGAGATGAAACGAGGATCGGTTATTGGAAATATAGCGAAGGATCTGGGGCTGGAACCGGGAGCACTCTCTAACAGAAAAGCCCGCATTGACACCGATGAGTCTGATAAACGTTACTGTGACATTAACCTGAACAACGGGGATCTGATTGTTGCTGACAGGATTGACAGAGAGGTGCTTTGTGGCGACAAGGCTTCGTGCGTTCTAAAATATGAGCTGGTGTTGGAGAATCCTCTGGAGCTACAACGGATCAATCTTCATATTCAAGACATTAATGATAATTCACCCCAATTCAATGAAGGAATTATCAATATTGAAATTCGGGAGTCGGCAGTGAGAGGGGCTCGTTTTGTGCTTGGGGAGGCGCACGATGCGGATGTAGGACATAATTCAGTTCAACAGTACAACCTGAAGAAGAATGAAAATTTCATTTTGGCAGAAAATACAAACACGGTCGAGCTCGTTCTTGACAAAGAGCTCGATCGTGAAAAACAAGAAGAAATAAATTTAGTCCTAACAGCTTTAGATGGAGGCTCTCCTCCGAGATCAGGTACCGTCGTTATACACGTCACTGTGCTGGATGCTAATGATAACGCCCCAGTGTTCAGCCAGGCCGTTTATAAAGCCAGTCTGCCTGAAAACTCTCCTGTAGACACTGTAGTGGTCACTGTTAGTGCGACTGATGCAGATGAGGGAGTGAATGGAGACGTGACCTATGATTTTGAACATGTTACTAAAGAAGTAAAGAAAATATTTAGTATTGACAACAAACAGGGTAAAATTAAAGTAATTGGCGCTGTTGACTATGAAACTACTTCAGCATTTGAAATAAGAGTGAAGGCTAAAGATGGGTTAGGACTTTCATCTTATGCCAAGGTTATCGTTTCTATCAGTGATGTAAATGACAACCCCCCTGTAATTAACTTGAAATCTCTGACAAATGCCATTCCAGAGAACACATCACCTGGTACAGAGGTGGGCATCATTAATGTACAGGATGCAGATTCTGATAATAACCAAAAGGTCCGCTGTTCCATTCAGCAAAATGTTCCTTTTAAATTAGTTCCTTCCATTAAAAACTATTATTCTCTGGTGACCACAGGACAACTGGACCGTGAACTAGTGTCTGATTACAACATTACAATCAGTGCTACTGACGAGGGCTCTCCTCCTCTGTCCTCCTCTAAAACTGTTCACTTATCTGTAGCTGACATCAACGACAACCCACCTGTGTTTGAGGAACAGTCCTACAGCGCATATGTGACTGAAAATAACAAACCTGGCTCCACTTTATGTTCAGTTACTGCTCGAGACCCTGACTGGAGACAGAACGGTACAGTGATTTATTCTCTGTTACCTGGTGAAGTGAACGGTGCCTCAGTCTCCTCCTACCTGTCAGTTAACGGAGACACAGGTGTGATCCACGCTGTGAGGTCATTTGACTATGAACAGTTTAAGAACTTTAAAGTCAACGTCATGGCCAGAGACAACGGTTCTCCTCCACTGAGCAGCAACGTGACTGTCAGTGTATTTATATCAGATGTGAATGACAACTCTCCTCAGATATTGTATCCCTCCTCAGATAGAAACTCCTTCATGACAGAGTTAGTTCCTAAAGCTGCACACGGAGGTTCTCTGGTGTCCAAAGTGATAGCAGTGGACGCAGACTCTGGACAGAACGCCTGGCTGTCCTATCAAATAGTTTCATCTACTGATCCAGGACTTTTCACTATTGGTGTCCACAGTGGAGAGATCAGGACACAGAGGGACATTTCTGAATCTGACAGCATGAAACAGAACCTTGTTGTTGCAGTGAAAGATAACGGACAGCCCCCTCTCTCTGCCACCTGCTCCATGTATTTGATTATTTCTGATAACTTGGCTGAAGTGACGGAACTTAAAGACATTTCTAATGACGGAACTAATTCGAAACTGACTTTTTACCTGATCATTGCACTGGTGTCTGTGTCCACCTTCTTCTTGACCTTCATCATCATCGTCCTGGGTGTGAGGTTCTGTCGCAGAAACAAACCCAGACTGTTGTTTGATGGAGCAGTCGCCATCCCCAGCGCTTATCTTCCTCCTAATTACTCAGATGTTGACGGCACAGGAACTTTACGCAGCACCTACAATTATGACGCCTACCTGACAACAGGTTCTAGAACCAGTGACTTTAAATTCGTGACGTCTTACAACGACAACACACTGCCTGCTGACCAGACTCTGAGGAAAAGTCCCAGTGATTTTGTTGATGCCTTTTCAGACTTGGAGAGTGTTGCAGAGGTATGAGTAAAAACAACATAAAAAATCAATTAATACATTTGAAAAAAAAACATAAAAAAACAATTAATTCATTTGAAAAAAAAAATATATATATATATATATATATATATATATATATACTTGGCCTAAAAGTCTTCAGTATGATGGCTGATGGGTGTACCATTGTGCTATCAGATTTCCAGCTGTTGTGTGCATGTGTGTGTGTCTGTGTACTAAAGTAGAATCGAGCAGGTTTCAAATTGGCATTTGCGTTTTTTTTTTCATCTTGTCATTTTATGTCTATCATGTTAAACAAAAAAAATGCATTAAAATAGTTGTTTTTCTTTCTTCCCTGTCGATTCTTTCAGCTCAACACCAGTCATGGTCAAACTGCAGTCTAGCCATGTTTCTTTGCACCATTAAAATTCAATCTTGAGTTTCACATGTATTGTGTTAAATATTTTTTTTCTTTTTTATAAACTTTTATATCATATCATCTTTCACTTTGTCTGTACTTCCTTATATCCATTTGTGTAAATGT